CCTTTGGGGCTAATATAGTAATCCTCCTTTGCTTATAGTAAAGAAAGGACATCTTTTCCTTTACCTTTGATGTAGCTTTTCCTGTTGGAAAGGAAAATAGAGAGTAGGTTGTAAATATCCTTTTCCCCCCAAACTCACAGATGTCTTCTCTAAAATCTGCCTTAGTGAATGATAGTAATAGATTAAAATTATATACTTATACTATGTGTCATGAGCTGTTTTAAATGCTTTGTATGTATCAACTCAAATCCTAATTGGTAGGCAGTATTGTTCTCATTTTATGGAAACTGAGGTGCAGAGAGGTTAAATAACTTGCCTAAGGTTGCACAGCTAGTAAATGCCAGGGCTGGGATTCAAACCCGGGCATTCAGTTGCCAAAGTGTGTGCTTTGTAACCACTGCACGTGCTGCCTTTGTGTTGGCGAGGTCTCTGTCACAATGCACACCTGAGCAGCAACTGACCTTCCATTTGCAATTTGAACGCAGGTCATTTTTATCAAGGACACCTGCCAGGGGGCACTCTTCGTGTTTTGACTTTGTTCTTTGTTTCACAGCCTATCGTAACACGTTCCCCCGAGTAACCTCTTTGTCTGACTAACAAAACTATTTTCAAAATATAAAAGATAAGAAGAGATGGAGTAAAAATAGACTTTTTTCTAAAGATGCCTTTCTTACTGTTCAGAAGTCTCAGCTATTTAAAGAGGCCAGATTAATGATGGCGCCAAGGGCTTTATCAGGTAACCAAAGCAAGCACGGGCACCCTACAGAGTCAAGCCTGTCCCAGAGAGGTGGCTTCTGTGATTTCTGTTCCCTGCCCTCAGGGTCTTTGGTATTTATTCATCCCTGGAAGGAAAAATCTTCCTGCCCTTCTGAGTCCCACATGGAGATCCATCCTACTAGAGTGGGAAGTGCAGGGTGGGGAGGCATACCAGGACTGCCTCTGGAAAATAAATGTCTCAAAGATTGATGGCTTGATGATCTTTGTGGAGATTATATCAGAAATTATTGATTATGTTACTAAGTCATAGAAAATAGGCTCTGGGGTTGGGAACTAAGTGCTTTCTTTCAAATAATCCAGAAGCAGTAGAATAAATCAGTGTGCAAAACATCTGAAACACCGTGCTCTGTTGTTTTGGCTTCACAATGTGGAAAAAGCAACATTATTTTTAAAAAGATATCTGAACCCTCATCTTGGCATGCTAGAAAAAAAGGGAATACAAAATTTTACAAAATTCCCTAGCTTCTAGCACTCCTTTATTTCCTAACTCAATGGGAAAACTGCAAGGCTTTTTAAATAATTTGTGCCAGATAGGGCATTTTTTCTTTTTTCTTTTGCAAAAATAAAAATACAAAAGCCTTATGAGATATTTTGCTTTCAGCAATTGAAGCTGACAAGCTTAGTCCTGCTCAGTTTTTTGCAGTTAAATCTTAATTTCAGTATACAATAAAATTACTCCATTTAAGTTTGTTTTGAAGCATTTTCTATTTGCATTTAAGGTCGTTGATTCTGGTTTATATGAAAGAAAAAATCCTAGCGCCAGTGTACCTTGCTGAAAGAAAGTCTCAGTATGCAAAAGTACCAATTTTTGAATAGTTCAATTGAATGATATGTTTTCATATTATGACAGCAGTCCCAGCCTGGAAGGATTCACAGAAGGATTTGTATAAGTAACTGCCCCCCTGAGGGCACTTAAACGTTTACTTATAAACAGTTAACAACTTAGAGGAGGGAGTAGCACCAGAGTGATAAGATGTCAGAAAAAGAAGATCACTCCAAAATGATGATAAACACGGCCCTAAATCTCTCAGTGAAAACTATGATAATTCAGCTCTGAACCTGGGAGACCTGAAAGCTGGTGTTAGGGGAATCTCTTCATGTTTATGGGCCTCAGTTTCTCATCTGTAAACTCAGACGTTGGGCTGGATGATCTTTAAGGCTCCTTTGAACCTGTATAATTTCTTGATTCTGTTTTCTGAAATAAGATGTGCTTGTTTTGGGGGATTTGGGAAACCGAGCATATTAAATTCTTCTGTGATCACGTCGGTATTTTAATGTTCTGTATAACAAGCCGGCGTTGTTTGTTTCCTGTGTGGTAGGTGCTGTACTGGATGCTGGGAATAGAATGATGCACAAATGCGATTCCCCCATCAGGTTTCCTTCAGTAGAGGTTTGGGTATGGGGGTTGGTGGGGAGAAAAAAGGGGACAGACTAAGAAAAGTTCAGGGGAACTGAATTTATCATTGGGGAAGCTTTCCTCTCTGATGACTAGGGAGTCCAGACTCCTTGGGCAAAGTACCGGCAAAACTACTCTTTGATGCGGTCTCCTCAGTGTGGGGTAGTGAATGGGAAATGAGGCAGAAAGTGAATGTGTATCTCCCTGGAGCATTCTGGGAGTGACCCTAGCTTTTCAAGAGAGTGTGACATGGCCTCTGCATTCCCTTATGTCAGAGCCTTGTCTTACTCTACCACATTGACATATTCACAGTGAACTTAAAAATTCCTCCACTGCTTTGGAGCCTTTTCAGATGATGAAACAGAAGAATCTGTTTAGGCATCCAGAGTATTATTAAAGTTTCTGCTAGTGGACATCATGATCCCTAAAGAAGGGTCTGTCACTCCCATGTTTCACCTGAGTGTGCTCCACAAAATAGCTAAATCCAGTTGCACTGGTCTTGTGGATTCTCTACCCTTCTAGGTATTCCAATGTACTGCATCCAAAAAAACCCAAACTAGGAACCTACTGAGCAGGGTCACCAGCTGCCAGCCTTGCCCTGGTTACCTGACCTGGTGCCCACAGTACTGTTTCACATACTTTTAATAGTACATGAAGCATTTCTGAAGGACAGAAGAATTGCATGTGAAATTAACTTCTTATATAGAAAGTTATCCCCTCTTTCTACTTTTCATTTTTGCTGTTTTGTCTATGAAATCCCTGTGGTAAACTTCACTTTTCTGCCTGTTACTCAGTGTTTTCTGGCTACTTCAGCAGATGATAGCAGCATGACATATTTTATCCCCAGGGGAACCAAGCATATGCTTGCCCAGGGTTTCACTTTGAGAATCTCTTATAAGGCAGAGCTAGAAAAAAATGGAAAAGCCTTGTTGAGGTGTGGAGAGAGCCTGAGTTCTAAATGCAAACTCTGCTACTAGGAAAATGAGATGTGATGTTCTCATTTATAAAAAGGTTATAATAATATATGCCTTGCAATCTTGGTTATGAAAACTATAAACTATAAAATTTTATAATATTTTAAGATGTTAAACTTATTTTTTTTTTTAGCTTGTAGCAAATAATTAAAACTATTTGAAAACCAGAAAGCAGATAACCAAGAAGAGATGCTGGGTGGCTTTTATGCTTCTTTTATGCTTCTCAATGATACATACTTGACTAGTTCAATAGAACTAAATTATGTCATGTATTTCTAGGAGATTTAATTATTTCATTCTTGCTTACAAATAATTTAGAGAGAAAGATGGTGTGGTAGGAAAAAGCATGGATTTTAAAGAAAGAAAGTTCGGGGTCTGAGATCCTGCATTGGTACTTACCAACTGGGGGACAGTATTTGGGCCAGTGTCCTGACCAAATAGGTTAACTTCTCTGACCTCTAGTTTTCTAATTTGTAGTTGGGTAAAATAGTATCTGTTGTTTAGGATTGTTGTGAAGATTAAAAAAATGAAGTGGAAAAAATAACTGACACTTAGTGCCTAAGTCATTGGGTATCTGCTAAATAATTAATTTCTCATCCCTTCTCATCTCCATATTCTCTGTAAAGGAGGGAGAGAAGGAGAATGTCAAGGGCTTGTAGGATATGGCATGGTGAAAGAACTCATATTTGGGGGTTCTAAAAATATGAGCCATTAGAGTATAAATAGATTTAACTGTCCCTTGTTAAATACCCCCCTCAACTGTATTTTAAAGACTTGACTGATTTTACTAAGTTAAAATAGGAAAATATTTTTTATCTTTTAATATACATAGTCATAAAATTATGGAAATTGTAAATTTAATAGTTAGTGGTGAAAATAATTAGAAGTACTTCATTTAATTTCTTAAATTTTTCTTGCAAGAGATCACTTTACCTCCCTTATTCTGAGTAGTACTGCTCACTGATGGGTATCACTGAGGTTGTGCAACTCCTCAAAGGTTGGCCTCTCTGCTTCGTTACATGATCTTTTCTTAAGGCATTGGATTATGCATAAGTCTTGATCAGTTTTAAAGTAAACACAATAAAAGATGGTCATAGCTTGAAGCATTTCTTTAAAAGTTTATAATTATAAAAATATTTAACCATTGATGAACAATGTTCATTGAAGAAAATTAGAAAATGCAGATATGGCCCCAAATCCCACAATAGTTAATCCTTTTAAAGTATGAAGATGCAGTTGTACATATAGATGTTTAAATAATAGAATCATGCCACATATGCTGTCTGATCTTTTTTGCTTATCATTACATCTTACTGTATCTTCAAATATTCATCTTTATCACTATTTTTGTAATAACTGCATAGTATTTTATTCTGTTGTACCATGAAATTATTTGATTCTCTATTGATGAATGTTTGGCATTTTTTCATTTTTTTTTCCTTGAACTGTGCAATAAAGAAAACTTGCCTAAATATTTCCATAGGAAATATTCTAATTGTTTCCATAGGAACAATTCTAAGTCAAAGGTAAATGCACTTAATGCCTCCAATACATATTTCTAAATTGACCTTCAGAATGAAAGAAATTTTATACTTATGAACAATCCTATCATCTGTGTAAAAGTATCACGTAAGAAAAATCAAAATAAGATAAGGTCAAATCCTAGTAATTTTGGCTTCCTTATTATATAGTAGTGGTGAAGCTTCTAATTTTTTTCTTGTGTTGTTGTTTTCGTAAAACGATTTTTATAGTAAAGTTTGTAAAAAGCACTATTTCATAATAGTTATTTCCTACTCCCATGCTTTTCTATGATGGTTAATTCATCTTTTCTCTCTCTCTTTTCCCCCCTCCAGGATGGAAGTATGATGTGATGGATAGAATTATGGGATACTGTGTGGGTACACGTCCTCCTCCTTCTTGCCTCATCCTCCTCCTTCTCAAGCTTTTGGCTACTGTCTCCCAGGGGCTGCCAGGGACTGGACCCCTGGGCTTCCACTTCACACATTCCATTTATAATGCTACAGTGTACGAGAACTCCGCAGCAAGGACCTACGTCAACAGCCAGAGTAGAATGGGCATCACTTTAATAGATCTATCCTGGGATATCAAATACAGAATTGTATCAGGAGATGAAGAAGGGTTTTTCAAAGCAGAGGAAGTCATCATTGCTGATTTCTGTTTCCTCAGAATAAGAACTAAAGGTGGCAATTCGGCCATATTGAATAGGGAAATTCAAGACAATTATTTATTGATTGTAAAAGGTTCTGTCAGAGGAGAAGATTTGGAAGCATGGACCAAAGTGAATATACAGGTTTTAGATATGAATGATCTGAGACCTCTGTTTTCACCCACAACATACTCAGTGACAATAGCAGAAAGCACACCTCTAAGGACTAGTGTTGCCCAGGTGACAGCAACAGATGCAGATATCGGTTCCAATGGAGAATTCTACTACTACTTTAAGAACAAAGTTGATCTCTTTTCAGTTCATCCCACAAGTGGTGTCATCTCTTTAAGTGGACGATTAAATTACGATGAAAAGAATAGGTATGATCTGGAAATTTTGGCTGTGGACCGGGGAATGAAACTTTATGGAAACAATGGAGTGAGCAGTACCGCAAAGCTTTATGTTCACATTGAACGTGTCAATGAACACGCCCCAACGATCCATGTAGTCACTCATGTTCCCTTCTCATTGGACAAAGAGCCGACATATGCAGTGGTGACGGTGGATGACTTAGATGAGGGGGCCAATGGAGAGATTGAATCTGTTTCCATTGTGGCCGGGGATCCTTTAGATCAGTTCTTCCTGGCCAAGGAAGGAAAGTGGTTGAACGAGTACAAGATTAAGGAGAGAAAGCAGGTTGACTGGGAGAGCTTTTCCTATGGCTACAACCTCACTCTTCAAGCAAAAGATAAGGGGTCCCCTCAAAAGTTTTCAGCATTAAAGACGGTTCACATTGCCAATCCCAAAAGAGACACTGTCCCAGTTAGATTTGAAAAAGAAGTGTATGACGTGAGCGTGAGTGAGTTTTCCCCTCCTGGTGTCGTGGTTGCTATCGTTAAATTAAGTCCTGAACCGCTCGATGTGGAATACAAATTATCTCCTGGTGAGGATGCGGAGTATTTTAAGATTAATCCTCGGTCCGGTCTGATTGTCACAGGACAGCCACTGAACACTGTTAAGAAGGAGGTTTATAAACTGGAGGTGACAAACAAGGAGGGAGATTTAAAAGCACAAGTCACCATCGGCATAGAAGATGCGAACGACCACACTCCGGAATTTCAGCAGCTGCTGTACGATGCTTATGTGAATGAGAGTGTTCCGGTGGGAACGAGCGTTCTGACAGTCTCGGCTTTCGATAAGGATAAAGGAGAAAACGGGTACATCACTTATAGCATTGCTAGCCTGAATTTGTTACCATTTGCCATTAACCAGTTTACGGGTGTCATTAGCACAACTGAAGAATTGGATTTTGAGTCTTCTCCAGAAACGTACAGATTCATTGTGAGGGCCTCTGACTGGGGTTCGCCCTACCGCCATGAGAGTGAAGTAAACGTGACTATTAGAATAGGAAATGTCAATGACAACAGCCCTCTCTTTGAAAAAGTGGCTTGCCAGGGAGTTATTTCGTATGACTTTCCAGTCGGTGGTCACATCACAGCTGTCTCAGCAATCGATATTGATGAACTTGAACTTGTAAAGTACAAAATCATTTCTGGAAATGAACTTGGCTTCTTTTATTTAAACCCAGACTCTGGTGTTTTACAGCTTAAAAAGTCTCTGTTGAATTCTGGAGTTAAAAATGGTAATTTTGCCCTCAGAATTACAGCAACCGATGGAGAGAATCTTGCAGACCCCATGTCTATTAACATTTCAGTCCTACATGGGAAAGTGTCTTCAAAGAGCTTCAGTTGCAGAGAAACTCGTGTGGCTCAAAAGCTGGCAGAGAAACTGCTCATTAAGGCTAAAGCAAATGGGAAACTGAATCTGGAAGATGGATTTCTTGACTTTTATTCAATTAATAGGCAGGGACCACATTTTGACAAGTCTTTTCCTTCTGATGTGGCTGTGAAGGAGGATCTACCAGTTGGTGCTAACATCCTGAAGATTAAAGCCTATGACGCCGACTCTGGCTTCAATGGAAAGGTGCTATTTACAATAGCTGACGGAAATACAGATAGTTGCTTTAACATCGATATGGAGACTGGGCAGCTGAAGGTCCTTATGCCCATGGATCGAGAACACACGGATCTCTATCTCCTTAATATCACCATCTATGACTTAGGTAATCCACAAAAATCTTCATGGAGGCTGCTGACCATCAATGTGGAGGATGCTAATGACAATAGCCCAGTTTTTGTTCAAGACAGTTACTCAGTTAATATTCTTGAAAGTTCAAGTATTGGTACTGAGATTATTCAAGTGGAAGCCAGAGACAAAGACTTGGGTTCTAATGGTGAAGTAACTTACTCAGTCTTGACGGATACCCGGCAGTTTGCCATCAATAGCTCAACTGGAATCATTTATGTAGCTGACCAATTGGACAGGGAGTCAAAAGCAAACTACTCTTTGAAAATAGAAGCCAGGGACAAGGCAGAAAGTGGTCAGCAGCTGTTCTCAGTTGTCACTCTTAAGGTGTTTTTGGATGATGTCAATGACTGCTCCCCAGCTTTCATTCCCAGTAGCTATAGTGTGAAGGTCCTTGAAGATCTTCCCATTGGCACTGTCATTGCTTGGCTGGAGACCCATGATCCAGATCTTGGATTGGGGGGTCAAGTGCGCTATTCTTTGGTCAATGACTATAATGGGAGATTTGAAATAGATAAAGCAAGTGGCGCCATCCGCTTGAGCAAAGAGCTCGACTATGAAAAGCAGCAGTTCTATAACCTCACAGTTCGGGCCAAAGACAAAGGGCGGCCTGTCTCTCTGTCATCTGTTTCCTTTGTTGAGGTGGAAGTGGTGGATGTCAATGAAAACCTCCACACCCCATATTTCCCAGACTTTGCTGTTGTTGGATCTGTAAAAGAAAACTCACGCATTGGAACAAGTGTGCTACAGGTGACTGCCCAAGATGAAGACTCCGGGAGAGATGGAGAGGTCCAGTACTCCATCAGGGATGGAAGTGGTCTTGGAAGGTTCAGTATAGATGACGAGAGTGGTAAGTTTAATGTTTTGTGCCAGAAGTATTGTTTCACTTCTCTTAGATCACTGACGTTGGAAAAATAAAGGGACTGTTAGGGCACTAAAGTAGAATTGCAAATGAGGTTGCATTTGGTGCAGAGATGATGCAAGTAAAAGCTTTTGCTTAGAATGTGTTGGTTTGTAAGAAGATCTATCTATGTAATAATAGCCATCGTTTCCAGTGGGAGTCCCTGTTTTGTTTTTTCTTGTTCAGCACTAGTGGTACTAGGTCATCTTTTGATAAGTATAAGTAATTGTCACCTCCGTTGATTGTACTTCTGACCCTCACTAAATGAAGGGCCCTGATTAAGTAAATTACATTTGAATTGGCTTTAAATTGGAAGTGTGAAATGGATTTTCAAATGGATCTTGTATAGGAATCTTTCCCTTTACAGTAAGGCCTTGCTGAAGTGACAGTGCATGAGTTGCTCAGTCTTACATGTTTCATGGGTACATCTGGGCCCTTGATTGATGGGCATTTGCTCTTTGTATGCTCCATTAATATAAGGAGATGTGCTTCTACAATTGTTTTCATAATACAATAGAGGAGCCTTGCTATGAATTTTATGTATAAAAGATTGTTTTTAAGATTTTACTTATACGACTTGATATTTTTAATAGAACATTTTTCAATAAAGGGAAAAATCATCCCAATATTTTCATTGCTCTTGACTTACTTTTTAATTCTCCATCATAGGTACAGACAGCCCCAGTTTTTTTTCAATACTTGCCATTGTCATTATGTGTCTTTAAATGTACATGTGTCTAGACACATGAATGTCTGGGTTTCTTAGCACTGTGCATTTTTTCTAGTCTTTAGATTGCAGACATCTAAAGAGAGGGGCTGTGTTTTCTGTTCTTGTGTCAATGGTAATATTAGCACTTTAAAGTTTTCAGGGCACATTTCTATACATTAAATAATTTTCTGCAACACTCACAGAGTGCTTTGCTCCCTGTCTTAGTCAACTCAGGCTGCTATAACAAAATACCACAGCCTGGGTTGCTTAAACAACATACATTTATTTCTCATAGTTCTGGAAGCTGGAAGGCCAACATAGTCAAGGTTAGGGCTTTCATCCAGCTTGCAAACTAACTAACTAACTTCTTTCTTTGCCCTCATGTAGTAGAGAGAGAGGGGGCTTTGGTCTGTTTCTCCTCTTATAAGGGTACTAATCCCATCGTTGAGGCTTTATCCTCAGGATCTCGTCTAAACCTAATCACTTCCCAAAGGTGTCACCTCCAGATATCATCACCCTGGGAATGAGGGCTTCAGCATATGCATTTGGGGTGAGGGACACAAACATTCAGTTCATAACAGTCCTGGTGATGATGATGATGGCTAGAACACACAGTGGGAAGGTGTCATTATAGACATAGTAACTGTACATCCATAATGCAGGTGTCCCCAAAATCGCCATACATAGGGAAAATGGGAAATTGTAGGTAAATGTATCTTTATTTACAAAATATTCATTATGTAATTTTACAAAATTTTTCCTTTGTAAAAATTTTGTAAAAGTTCTTTCTCATACAAAAGGAAACATTTTGTAATGAATTATTTTGTAAATTAAGGTACATTTACCTACAATTTCCCATTTTCCCTATGCATGGCAATTTTGGGGACACCTTATACTAGAAAAAAGGATTTGAGAAACTGTATTAAATATTGGATAGGCAAAAATAAACTGCACCATCTCAAATTTAAACTGTAATTTTGGTATACACAGGCTCTATTTATGGCCAGCATAAATTATAAAATTGATCTCCATAGACACAATGCAAGAAAAAGTAAATGTCAGGAAAACTCAGTCCTGATTTAGCCACCTACTGTATTTTATTATATATCTCTTGTAATTTTCTTAGAATATATTTCTACCTTTGAGGTACAAAATCAGAAAGAAAGGGAATTAAACTTTACCGAGTGCCTATTCCATACTAATAATTTCCTACTAATGATAATGACTCCATTGAGTACTTACAATGTGCAAGACACCGTACAAAGGATTTTATAGCTGGATCATCTTATTTAATTCTTCCAGCAGCCCCATGAGTTGGGATTAATAATTATCAGTTCATACATTGAAGTTCAGAGAAGACATACAACTTGGAGCCTAGTTTCAGACTTAGCTCTACATAACTGCAGTGAACTATGCTCTCTCCCATCTAAAGAGAAGTGTAGTATTCCTTGCATGTTCCTTAAGTACACTTAAATTTGGTGTTGATGTAAAATCTACAAGGCAATAAAATGTTGAGTTTTCAAAGTCCTTAAAACCCTGGGTTCATTGACTGATGGCACTGACCATTGATTACCCTTCCTGTTTCCTTTATAGGCCCATTGTCTGTGTGGCTCTCCAGGGTTTGAATTTAGCTTTGCAACTGGGGTAGAGATGTGGGTGGGTAGGTCAATAGGAAAATGTCGAGCTGAATCATTCACCACTGCTATCTATATGACTATATCAAGCCACACTGAGCTGTCTTTATCAGGAAGTTGCATCTTGGTCTTGCTTGATGGAGTCAAGAGCAGGAGCAATTTGGTAAAAGTGACCTAGATTTTTCCCATAGGTACTGTGTTTTATTGTTTTTACCTTGGGTGTTATTTTAGAAAATATGTGTATAGTTTTATCTGATGATAAGGCTGCTCTTATAATTCTTGACTCCAAGAGTTTGATATTCTTTGTCTCTGTCAAAAAAACAACTCTCACTGTTCTGTATTTGTTCTGTTACATTCTAGATTATATAAAAAAAATTTGTCATTGAAAATAATGCTACTTATATTTTGACATGCTCTGTGACTTAAAAAACGCTTTCCTATGGACATTAACTCCTTTGGGTTAAACAGCTAAGTGAGTCGTGTAAAATCACATACCCATTAGAGCAGGGGTCCTCCAACTTTTTAAGCAGGGGGCCAGTTCACTGTCCCTCAGACCATTGGAGGGCCGTTGGAGAGCCTTTGGAGAGTGCAGCGCACATTCCACACATGCGTACTGTGGGCCCCGGACGAGTCGACTGCTAAGCAGGACAGGCAGTGGCAAAAACACACGGCGGGCTGAATAGATGTCCTCGGCAGGCTGCATGTGAGCCTCGGGCCGTTGTTTGAGGACCCCTGCATTAGAGGATATGAGCCAGATCTAGAACCCACCTCTCTTCAATCCTTTCCTTTACATTCATTGCATATATTTCTGATTTGTTTTCTCAGAGTATTTTTTAAACTTTAAAACTATAGTAACAATTTTCTCTACCTCTTATAATTTTATTCTGTTCCTTCCTCTTAGAAAATAAAAGTGGGTTTTTCTCTATATTATAAGAAAAAAGGTTTGGGTTACTGTTGACTTTTTTTTAATGATGATTAGAGTGTCCATATAATAATAAGCTTAACTATCTTTCTTCTTCCCCTGTCACCACTTGTAGATCTTAGCATTCAAACCCAAGAAACTGATGAGGAATGATTGCCTGGACGTGTGCATGGGGATAGTAGGGTCGAGGAGAAGTTTGATAATTTTATGTGTGACAAGAGAAGTCATCATCATGGTGCTGTTGGATTCACACTACTTTTGAATGATCCATCAGTTCTTTGCCTCCAAGTCCTAAAAAAATCATAGTTTGAGCTGGTGGCAGAATGAATAGCTCTTTAGCCCTGTAGCAGTTTCCTGAGTCTCAGGTCCAGACTCTGTTGTTTTCATTTGACCCATGGACATTGAATGGCCTGAACTTGTTTGGATTTTTGTCTTTTAAAACCTTTAAGTCAGTTCCCAAAGGTCCCTCAATGGCTTGCATTTGTTAGTGGTTCTCAAACTTAGAGTGTACATCCATCACCTGGAGAGTTTAACAATAAAGATTCCCAGGCCAAAGATTCTGATTCAGTAGGTCTAGAGTGGGAGCCCAAGAATTTTCATTTAAGCACTTCAAACATTCGTTCTGCATTTGTCTTTTAGAAACACTACTCTAAATCACTTGAGCTCCTAAGAGAGTAGCTACCAGATTATATCTTTTCTGTAGAGTGTTTTTCCTTATTCTTTTGAAAGGCAGAAACTTGAGCCCACGTCTTAGATAAATTTATTTTCTAGTCAAATTTTACAGTCCAAATAAATCTTTTGTTATTCATTAGTGGTGCTATTTTTCTGAATGCCTTCCCAATAGATCAAAAATCTATTTCTGTGCTTCAGTAATTGTAGTGCTTATGTTTTGTGAAAGTGTGTATGCTGGGATTAGTTGATGCATTTCGTAGTTTTATGTTTTTGACTTTTTTGCAGCTCAGCGAACAAAACCATACCTTTGAAATTCTTTACCACGCACAGGCATTTAATAAATGTTTAATAATGCTCACAGTAAATAGATTAACTGGAGCCTCCCCAACTATGGTAGATTTGATCACAATTTAAATCACTAGTCTGGAAGATGCAATTTAATCATTTTTCCTTTCACAAAGAATGCATTTTTATTCTTTGACACAACAAGGATTCATATTCTTGACTACTCAGAGGTTTTAAACAGTTTTAGAAAGAGCACAGTGTATGTTTTAAAGTGTGATTTTCTATCAGATTCTTTTGTAAGATACACACTTCAATGATTTCACCATTTTATTTACCTGAGGTTAATTAAAGGACTATTTAATTGAGTTGAACAATTTACAGTTCAGTACTTTAATCATGGATAATTGGGAAGATATTTTGCCATCCATTATCATTAATTGTGTTATTTCTTCCATTTATCAAGTATCTATTATGTGTCAGGCACTGTACAAGGTACTTTTTAGGTACTATTTCTGACCGTCATAGTAGTCTAACAAGGTAGGGATTACTGAGGCTTGCCCAGTCAGGATCACCCCACTTGGTAGTTGTCAAGAGCTGAGATTTGAACTTCCAGTGATTTTTGATTTTGATTTTGATTTCCAGTACAGTGGACTCCACGTCCCATGTTTTCCACTCCAGCGTGCCATTGTAACTTTCTTATATATCTGTCAGATTTTTCTGCATTATT